AAAAAAAAAAAAAAAAAAGCAAAACTATACATTTTAGAACAATCATAACCCACATTTTCGAATCATCCATAACAACCCGTGACAACCAACAATTCAACAGTTCCATTTTGGAATGGGGGGAACCAGTTCCCCCACCCTTAAAATCCCACGACTGTCTTCATCTCCAAAATAGTCATATTCATCTCCAAAATATTCCTCATTAAACGGGGACATCGGAGTCCCGTTTAATGAGCCTTCAGACCTCAAAAGACGATATTGTAGGGATCTGGTTTTTTTAACATCTCCAGAGCTTGGCCTGTTTTCTGATTGACTTGGTCTGGGTCCTACCCCCAAAGAGCAGCAAAGTCTTGAAGACCATCAGTTCAAAAACTCCTCCCTCTCTCACTTGCTTGTGGCCGTCTTAACTTCAAGAAAAGGACCACCTTGGAAGATCCCAACTTCCATACATTCGCGTATGGATTCAGAGGGACACATAGCACAGTTCCAATCTCAGCTGCTCGTTTTCTAAAGCTGGGAAAAAAAATAATGAAAATAATGGGGAAGTCAGGACCTCAAGGGAGAGGGGGGCTTCAGATCTTTCTTCAAAAAATGGAAAAGACATTTGACCTAAAGTGTGGGAACCTGGAACTTTGCCCATCTTGGACAAGCTGTTGGCTGGTGGGCAGAGCAGGTAAGGGGATGGGAAAGAGACGGATGGAGCTTGAGAACGCTCTTTATGGTAGACAGTCCCATGGAAGGAGAAGATTCGTGATTACTTTAGTAAAAAAAACCAAAATGTGGTAAGGTTGTGTTAGAGTCCTTCGACGGAAGGGACGCACCTGGTGCAGGTTCCTCAAGGTTCTAGACTGCTGGAAGGAGTTGTCTTTGTCTATCCTGCTGTTTTTATTTGGGGGGAGGGTCCTGTGTCTATGAGCAGCACCCAGAAATTTGCCATTTGCTCCCGGTGATCGCGAGCCCTTGGGCTGCCAAGTATACAGTGTCATCTGAACGACTGGATTGGAAGGATCGATCTTTTCCCATTCTTCTTCCTCTCTATTAATTTTCCTATGCGTCCAAGCTACATTCTTCGCTTTTTTTTTTCTTTTAAGCCCTTTTCTGTTTCTGGATTTATTTCTTCCCTTTTTTCCCTCCACCTCCTTTCTCCATTATGTTTTTTTTTTCCTGCCTCCCTCACCCACCTCCTAAGAGCAGAGTCTTTTTTTTAAAGCCAACCTGTTCTGAAGGACAGGAGAAGGAAGAACAAAAAAAAGGGAAGGAAGGAAGGAAGGAAGGAAGGAAGGAAGGAAGGAAGGAAGGAAGGAAGGAAGGAAGGAAGGAAAAAAGAAATGAATGCTAATTATAGCATGCTGGCTGGAGAGTTGAAGTCCATGCATCTTGAAAGGGACCAAGGTTGAGAAACATTGACCTAGTAGATCTTGGATTGAGCAAGGTGACCTAGACATGTCTTTGTAGCTCAATGATTTGAAGAAAATGAGAAGTTTTAACTCGGTTTCCAAAGTTAAAATCCCTTAGGGAGAGCAGGTGTGTTGCCAACACATTCATAGCTACCTTCTTCAAGTTCTCAAGATGCCACCTTGACGTGCTCCATTTATATCTCGCTGTGAGCGAGTCGGTCAACCGTGTTAAGAGAAGGAGCTGGCTCCCAATCTTGGTTTGAGCAAGGAAAGGAGGACAGGGACGGGAAGGTCCACCTCTGCGCATTCCCTTTCATCCTTTTTTTTAAAACTCACCCCCCTAGCTTGCCATTCCCCACCCTTTCTCTAACCTGCAGAATTCACTAGATGCTTGGCAGCACGTGGAATCCTATAGCGATGACCACTGGGGGAACATCTGGCCGTGGAGCGAACGATCCAGGAAGAAGAAGAAGAAAAAAAAGAAAGAAATCTTACTTCTCTCTCTGTTTACCTTGTGTTTTTTTCTCTTCTTCTTTTCTCTCTCTCTCTCTCTGACTCTCCCCTCCCTCTGTCTGCTTCACACCTTCCTTCCCTCCTCATTGCTTCTTCTCCCTCCCACCCACCCACCCACCTTCCCTGCTGCTTTTCATCCGTGCAGAACGGGCCTCTTCACGCCTGACCTGGCTTTTGAAACCATAGTGAAAAAGCAGATGCAAAAACTGAAGGAGCCCTCTCTGAAGTGTGTGGACATGGTAGTGAGTGAGCTCACGTCCACCATCAGAAAGTGTAGCAGCAAGGTAAAGACCCTGAAAAGGAGAGAGAATGCCTTCCCCAACCCCTCCATAAAAAAATAATTTAAAAAACCCAATGCCATTTTGTGGGCACGTGGGTGGGCACCCACACAGAGGAACCCAGAAGATGTGCCCATGTGCCTTTTTGGTTAGACGACAGTCGAAGGAGGGAGAAACGAGGCAATTCCATGGGGTTAGTCCTCTCCATCAGAGTAGGACAATTGGCAGATATGGTGGGGCTAGAATAGGAGGAACGGTAGAGGTGATAGGGTGAAGATATCAAGAAGAGTCAAGCTATTCTCCAAAGCACCAGAAGGCAGGAGAAGAAGCAATGGATGGAAGTTTATCAAGGAGAGAAGCAACCTAGAACTAAGGAGGAACTTCCTGACAGTTAGAACAATTAGCCAGTGGAACAGTTTGCCTCCAGATGTTGTGAATGCTCCAACGCTGGAAGTCTTGAAGAAGAGATTGGACAAACGTTTGTCTGAAATGGTGCAGGTTTTCCTGCCTGAGCAGGGGGTTGGCCTAGAAGACCTCCAAGGTCCCTTCCAACTCTGTTGTTCTATTCTACTCTAAGATGCTTGTTGGAGCATAAGTAGACATGTTCTAGCTCGGA